GTGTGGAGGCCACAACCAGCGCACAGAGGTGGCCGCTACAGCAGCCTGGGCTCGCCCAAAAGCGCTGGTGTGGAGGCCACAACCATTGTTCAGGGAGCAGGGTGGCCTTCCCTGTGCCTTCTGACGTAAACTCTGGCGTTCCAGACGTGTCGATCAGTCATGGCATGGGCCTGCATAAGGAGCGGCTCTGCGACACGGATGCCACAGCAGTAACACCACCAACTGGTCCGGCGAGAAGACGCTGGGCAGCGCCCTTCTCTCACTGCCATTGCCAGAAGCAGGTGCCCCGCCGGTGCCCTCACGCAGCAGGAGAGTTTGCACACCAGCTGGCAGCACTGAGCCCAGGGTGGCTGTGTGCGCCAGGGCTACGCTGGGCGTGGAGTGGAGCGAAGCGTGCTCCAGCCTTGGTGCGTCGGCCCTCTCGCGCGCCCTGGAGACCACGGCACCAACCGTCTGGGTGGCATTCATAGCCATGCGGAGGACCACAAGGTGCGAGCCGACCTGCGCGGAACCGCTCCAAGGTTCACTTGCAGTGCTGGCGCAGGGCTTGCACGAGGTGTGGTGCTGCAGGGCCTGCTGAGGGGGGGTCCCACTAAACCGGCCCCTGCTTTCTTCCTTGCAGTACGGCGCGCCCAGGGTGTGTCCGAGGCCTCAGCTTGGCTCCCTTCGGCAGAGTCTTCCGCCGGCGGAGCTTCCACTCTTCGCATTGCTCATCCCTTGGCGGGGCGGTGGCGGCGGTTGGCGGTGGGGAGCCCCCGGACCGCTCACAGCAGGGCTGGTCGCAGGGGTGGCTGGGCCCGGAAGATGCTCCAGCAGCCTGTCGGCAGAGATCACGAGGCGAACGATGGCGGACTCGGGGAGGGAGTGCAAGCGCGGCTTCCCGTTCACGGGCTTGTCGAAGAAGAGCCCTGGCGATTTGGGGTTGAAAACGACCGACTCAAAGTATCGCTCGCCCCTCGGCATGTAGGCCGTGATCTTCAGGAGCCCTTGGCGATTGAGCATCTCCCTGGAATCGGAAAGCTGCAGGCGATTCACGGGCTTGGCGAGCTGCAGCGTTGCGTGCTCGCCTTCCACCATGGCCACGCGGCAGGCGATGCCGCAAAACTCAATCTTCGCGCCGAGGTCCACAGCCTCGAAGCGCTCCAGCGGCACGCCCGCCTTCACCAGGACGCCGTCCACGAAGGAGTCGCCTTCAACCTTCTGCAGGCCGGCGCGGAGGAGCAGGCGGTCCTTAGCATCCTCGCGCTCGCGCTTGGCGGCCTCCTTGGCCATCTCCCTGTGGTACTGGCTGCTGCCCTCGGCCCCCTGCTTCCGGTCCAGCTTCTGCTCGATGCGGTCCACGGCTGCCATGATCTCGCCCTGGCCCTGCTTCAGCTCGGCCTGGCCCTCCTTGAGGTCCCACGTGTTGTGGAGGGTCTCCCTGGTCACCTTCCGCTCCTTGATGCCGCGCTCGCGCTGGGCCTCCAGACCGGCCAGCTTCTCCCGGCACGCTTGCACCTCCTGTTCGGTGAGCTCGCGGCCCACGCAGCCAGGCTTGGCGAGCGTCCGCCCGGTACTGATCTTCGTCTTGAGAGTCTGGATGGCTCGACTCTGGGGGGAGTGCACGCTCGGCATGGCGCAAAAGCGGGTGGAGGCTCAGACACCAAGAGTTCAGCGAATTGCTGCGGTACAGATATTTACTAACCGCGACATCAAACAAGCAAGCGGTTGAACGAGACCTACGGGTGTGCACCGGGTGTGCACCGGGTGTGCACCGGTCAAGCGCCGACCCTGCATTCTACTCGCAGGCGCACGCTTCCGGCCCGCAGGCCCGTGTGTCAAGCATGCTGCTCCCTGCGCTGTCGAGCTCTGGTCTGACGGCCCGTAGGCCCAATGCTCCGGCCCGTAGGGCCGTGGACACTGTGAGGTCCTCGGCTTAGCCCCTCGCCATCTCCCGCTCCCCACAGGGTCAATGCTGGGCTGGGCTGGGCTGGGCTGGGCTGGGGTGTGCCCCTAGCCATTTTAAGCCTCCAGCTTCCCTATATATAAGGGCGGGAGGGTGTGCTCGAAGGAGTTTTTTTTTCGAATCCGACCAGGGGGTCCAAAGAATGCCCCTAGCCATTTTAAGCCAATGAGCTCCGAAGAGCTGATGATGCTCCGGAGAGCCAATGGTGCTCCGGAGAGCTGATGGTGCTCCGAAGAGCCAATGGTGCTCCAAAGAGCGGATGGTGCTCCGGAGAGCGGATGGTGCTCCGTAAAGCTGTCAAGCATGCTGCTTTGCCGTGGCGTCGGTGTCAAGCATGCTGCTTCGGCGTCGGCGCCGCTGTCGAGCTCTGGTCCCGCCTCTGCGGATGTGGGGTTCTAGGCTTAGCCCCTCGCCAT